CTGATAGTTCATATGTAAAAACGCTTTTAAATTGTTAAACAGAGACTGCCACGAGACTCAGCGTAGCCGATAACACTTGTCTAGAGTCAATTGTGAGGTTCCCACGTGTGAGAAATGACCAGTTCTGGGACTCCCAGGAAATTTCGGCGCCCGGCCTAAGCGATCGAAGATCAGAGTCTCGCTTGACTCCCATTTTGACGAGGACACTTTGGACTACCTATCCATGAAAAAAATCAAATCATTTGTATTTCAAATTTTTAAGCAATGGCCTGGCTTTCCAAAGATCTCCTGAAAAACCTGCGGAAAGATTTTGAAAAAGGCTTTCATTGTGAAAAGATGCAGTTAGGTCATAGCTTTCGATTAGTGAAGTCCTCAAGCATCTACCACTTTTCTGTAAACGTTATTCAAAAAACATCCGAGTCCATTCTTTTTTTTTACCGACAATAGTTCTAAGAGGGAACCCATTCAGTTTTTTGAAACAGTTTGCAGACAACACTTCGGAGTATATCTCGAAAAAAGTTTTTGTTTTCCAAACTGCTAGTATTTTCTAAATTTTTCGAACTTGTTTTTTTTTCGAGTTTTTTAAAGTTGCAGCGTTTTTAAAATTTCAATTAAAGCTTCAGTTTTTGATATGGTCCTCGCGTAGTTTCAATAGAGGGCATCAAACTGTATGCGCCAAATAAAATGAAGTTTCAGGCGGAAAGGACCCCGCCAGGTAAAACTCGAAATTTTCCACCCCTACAAATGTCCACTTTTTCCGTATGGTTGAAAAGACCTGACTCTAGCGCACAAGAATCTGCTATTAGATTTCCTCGAAGATGTCTGGGCTCAGAAATAGTCGAGCTTTCGCGATTGAAATATCCACTTGGTTCGCAATTCAGTAAAATGCTTATAACTTAGGATATTTTACAATCGGCTTTCGTCATTAGAGTATCCTTTTTTGGGAAGGGCCAACCTATGAACTATATTTAACCGTTCGTAAAACGAAAGATAAATGATAATATAGACAGCGCAACACTAACCTATTTTTTAAAAGATACACGTTTTTTAAAGATGAGAACGAGTGGGAATATCACAAATGTATCACAGAAGACATGATTTGGACGCATCGAGCATTTTCCTATATTGGCCCAACAGGGTCAAAAGTATGCGTTTTCTAAAGATGATCTTGAGAAAGCTACGTATCTAGTACTTTTTTGGCGTCTCATTATACTCTAAATTTTCAGCAATTTTAGAAAATGGGAGACAATCTGGTGAATCAGAAAAACAAGAAAAATAAGATCAAAAACATTTTGATTCATTTAAGATCCTCCCCACAGTAGAAACTTATCTCAATAATCATAAGTCGCATCTTGAGAAAAATTTCAGGGAATGTTGATTCTGTCAAAGTATGATGATGTAAGTTTTGTTTTGACTTCATCCATCTCCGTTCTATCATCGAAAAAATTTCCAGAAGTCTTCCAAAGTCCAAGAAGGCTTTTTACTATTCTCAACTAAAAATCGTATTGCACAGGTAAAATAGAGTACATCTTGATATTCTGATGTAGTTTGCATCAATTTTGACTGAGTTATGAGTTTTCTAATTTTACACGAAGATATGAAAAAAATGGGATATTCTTCATAATGTAGGTTTTCACTAGGTTTGTTGTTCAACAAATGTTGCCACGAGATTCAGCATGGCCGATTACCTATGTTTTCATTCGTTTTCGAAATTACCATATCTAAAGTAATATCGATCCTGGTACTCTAAGGAATCCGATGCCTCATCTGAACCAGGGAAAATTAAAAGTTTACTTAGTTCACATTTTGAAGAGTTCACTTTGGATTGTGTATCTATGAAAAAAACCGATAGGTCGCTACCTCTCCGTGATTTTCCAAAGATCCCGTAGAAAACCCATGTTCGGAGGACAAATTTGCTTACGGAAATATAGACTAAAAACTGTCCTCTTTCGATTGCTGAAAATCGTAAGTCTCTATCTTTTATTGTCCATTCAAAAAACAACTACCTGCCATATATTTCGGGATGGATAATAGTCCCATTTTTCTTGCTAATAGTCTGCATATAGCAAAAATCAAAAGATTGATCCATGTGAGCACCTAAAGCTGCTAGAAAATGGTTCTTAATGCTTTTTGTTTATTTTTTGAACGGGAGCGAAAAGCGGGTGACTTAAGGTATGCATCTGCTTCTTTCGGGAATGATAGTCGATGTTTCTTGTTTAGATGACGTATCACACGCGCCCAGATACACACCTTGTACGTACGCTTTTTTGTTCACATTCGATAAATGGGTGTTTCTGAGTCATTCATTCGAAAAAGGAAAAGAAAAGAGATAAAAGTACTTACTACTACTTTGTCATTGTGTAACTCACAAAAAATACTGTGTAACGAACGTATAAAGTATATCATGAGCATATGTACAGGTACGAACCAAGTAGCCAAATTTCAATTTCAACTTCTATTTTTGTTGTTTAGGACAATTATGTTCCGGTTCTGGTCTGATACTTTCTGATACTTGGTGTTGTCCAGGTAAACGGTAGACTTGCAGATTCTAAAATTTATAAGCTATCGTTCTTGCTTTTAGATCAAACTCGATGTGGCTATTACTTCAATACATGTCGGTCAGGATTGTCAATGGGTTCAAAAGTTGGAATTGGAGTAGCGATAGCCTTCGCTTTGCTTGTATTCATCGTTTGTTTATCGTGGATGAGAAGAAAACGTCGACGACAAGAACAGCCAGTAAGAATACATTACCAGTCGCAGAATTATCAACAACAACAACAACAACAAAACTATCCTGATCCACCACCACCTCAACTTCCGAATACATTTGTTATTCAAGAACCACCACCTCCATACCCCGGACGTCGGAATGACTAGTTATTGTTTTTTTTACGTGAATGTCATATCAGCACTAAAATAGCAAGCGCTGTGAAGCCGTAAACTAATCTGTGTTGTATGTTACATTTTTTTTGTTTTATGTCATACCTTAGACCTCACCACATCCTCGACACGCGCAAATCTGACGTATACATGCTTAATCGACTATTGTTTTAAGCCGAATGGTACGTAAAGGCACTGCCTTTCCAACACTTCTCGAGAATAGCTGCGACTAAAGTCATGATTTTTTCAGCGTCATGCGGCAAGTTCTACTACATGGGTGATTGAGAATAAACGGCTGTGATTGCAATTGTTGGAGTTTTTATATCAAATTATAAACCGTTACCAAAGTTTTGCCGATGCTCCATTCCAGTCGAGTTTTTTACCGTTATTCATCTAAAGATTCCAAAAAAAATTTGACTCAAGGAAAACATAAAACTCGCCAAAACTTTGATAATGGTGTGATTTGCTATAAACAATCCAAAAATCGCCCTCAAAATTATTTGCTTTCCACTTCTTATAGAGTCGAAGCGGACATATGCTATGTCTCGGTGAGTTACTTGGGGCTAACCAAAAGTTCTGAGATTTGCAGATAAAAACGCACAGAAAAGATCTAGTATGCTTTCACTCCAGCAAGTATTCGAGCTAATAGCCATGATTACCCACACGCAATTGATTTCTTTCAAGACCTTTGTCAAAAGATTTTTTGACTAATCTTTACTTAAAAAATTCATGGTCTTGGTTAGGACACTAAATTCAATGATTTGAACCGTTTTGATCGACTGAATTTTGTTGGACACGATCGACCAAAGAAATACGATGATTACATTATGTAGTAATAGGTAATCAGTTCTAGATTTGTCATAAACAAATGGACCGAAAGTCATCAAACTACTATCGTCGCCAAAATACGGCGACCCTGGTTGCTTTCTGAATAACTTCTCACACGAGACAGATAGAGACCTGCGATTTTCTCTGTTCGATAGCCAAGACTTGAGCGGAACTTTTCACAAGCGAAAATAACTTTCGAAAAAATTTCGAAGCTCGGGTTTCCAGAGGATCTTTGGAAAACTAGCTCCGTTCTCAGAAAACTAGCATACAATATTAGTAATTTTTTTGCATGCATACATAGTCCGGACGTTACTCTACAAAATTATGCAAGTCCCG